ACATGGAACTGAGTGACCGAAGCGGGGACCTCAGAGACGAACACACAGAGCTCCGGGCCCTCTCAAATCCTGACGACAGGTGACACTCCAACATCAAGGCCCCACGCACCTCAGCTCCCAGCGGCCACAGAGCCCCAGTGCCACCAGCAGGCCCCTAAAGCCATGCCCCCTCAGCTGCTGCTTCAGGAAACAGCTTCTCAGCCGCCCACCCCCCACGGCCAACTTAAAAGTTGTTTTGTTGCTGTTTTTACCCAAAATATAACAACGGAAGCCGGGAAAATACAGCTTATTTGTACAGCTCCTACAATGATAAAATCCAAACCAAGTTACCATGAGCAGAAGCACAAAACTAGTTCTGATGTGACTGGCACAGGTGACACTTGGGGAAGCTGAATCTGCTCACGGTGCCAGCGGTGACGGTGCAGGTCTTTGCACGGGGGGTGGGGGGAAATCCCTGTGTGCAGGTGGAGCCCCTTGGTCCTGACCTCCCCATCCCAATGCCACCGACGCGTGGGTCTCACACTCTTGGGACAGTGATGGCCCACAGACTCAGAATGCCCCCAGTGACAGAGGACACCCTCAGTGACAGAGAATGTTGTCCCTCGTCTAGAACACCTGCCTCGGTTCTTTCCTTCAGGAGCCAAGTAAATCAGAGTCGGCAAAGCCTTACTCTGGAAAGGGTAAACCCAACACAAGTGTGGAGCATGAGTCGCCAGCTGCGTTCACAGACATTTCTAGACTGCCATCAACACAAAAGCACCCGCAGCAAGTCTAGGACATCCATCACATGGCAGCAGACCCAGGAGTCCTCAGACCCCCGCCTGACACCCCATGGGATAAGAGGCAACCCAGTCTGAGCAGCTTGTACACTAGAGAGAGCAGGTCTGCTTTCTGCAGTAATGATGCTGCATAAGCATCTACTAAATGCCTACGGTGTGCCAGGCCCAGGTGCTGGGCGACAAAGGGCTCAGTTTGATTTCTAGTTCCTCCACCAGAGAGGACAAAAGTCTGGTGTCACAAGGACACGGCAAAGCTCCAATAAGATAATGGCGGTGAACATGCTCAGAAAGTACACGCACCTGATATGCAAAGGTTTAGGTCTCGGGCATAGTCCCCCTCCTGGGGCTGGTGGGTCACAGGGCCGATGGCCCCTCCTTCTGACACTTCTCTTGGGTGATCTGGTCCCAGCATGACCTCCCTCAACACCAGGGCAGGACGGCCGGCATCGCTCTGAGACACACAACAGTAACAAGAGCAGCAGGAGGAATAACCATAGCAGCAGCTGCCCAGGGCCAGGCCCCCTGAGTGGGCACCCACCGTGCTCTGGCTCTCTTCTGCGTGTGGGACACAGCCTTCTCTTTAAGAGCCCAGCTGGGGACCGGCCAGCTGTGTGACTGGGGCAAGGGACTGCAGGGCAAGGGAATGCAGAAATAAACCCTCACATTTATAGTCAACTGAGGTTTGACAAAGGTGCACAGGCGATTTGATGGGAAAAGCAGTTTTTTCAACAAATGGTGTTGAAATAAATAACAATCCATATGCAAAAAAAATGACCTTAGATCTTTACCTCAAACCATACATGAAAAGTTAACTCAAAATCGTTCACAGACCTAAATGTATGAGCTAAAATTATAAAACTTCTAGAAAAAACATAGGAGAAAATCTTTGTGACCTTGGGCTAGGCAAAGATCTCTTAGATATAACTCCAAAAACATTAACCATCAAAAGAAAAAACTGATAAATTGAACTTCACCAAAATTTAAAACTTTTGCTACTCAAAAGATACCATCAAGAAAATGAAAAGATAAGCCACAGACTGGGAGAAAATATTTGCAAATCATGGAACTGATAAAGGAGCTGTATCCAGAATACATAAAGAACTCTCACAACTCAATAAGATGACAGACAATCCAAGCTTTAAAAACCAAATAGAAGACAAACAGACATTTCTCACACACACACATGATATACAAATGGCTAATAAGCACATGAAAAGATGTTCAACATCATCAGTCATCAGGAAAATGCAAATCAAAACCACAGTGAGATACCACTTCACACCTACTAGCATGGCGATAATCAAAAAGACAGACAATAATAAATATTGGCAAAGATGTGGAGAAATCGGAACCCTCATACACTGCGGGTGGGAACAAATGTAAAACGAGGCAGCCACTATGGAAAACAGTCTGAAAGATCCTCAAAAGGTTAAACACAGAGTTACCACATGACCCAGCAGTTCCCCTCCTAGGTGTACACCCAAGAGAACTGAACAGGGCCACGTGAATGTTTGTAGCAGCATTATTCATAAGAGCCAAGAAGTGGACCCAAATGTTCCTTAACTGGTAAAGAGATAAACAAAATGTACTACATCCTTACGATAAAGTACAGACACGTGCTAAAACATGGATGAACCTCAAAAACACACTGAGTGAAAGAAGCCAGACACAAAAAGACTCCATGTTGTATGCTTCCATTTATATGAAACGTCCAGAAAGGGCAAATTTTAAAGACAGAAAGCAGATTAGTGATGGAGCAGGGGTAGGGACTGACTGCAAACAAGTACAAGGAAACTCGGGGGGATGATAGAAATGTCTAAAACTGTGCTGATGGCTGCACAATTCTACAAATTTACTAAAAATCACCAAATCATATGTTTACAATGGATAAGTTGTGTAGCACACAAATTATACCTCAATAAAGCTGTTAGGAATAAAATAAACAAGTACTGGGGCCGGTCCTGTGGTGTAGCGGTTACGTGCGCGCTCCGCTGCTGGCGGCCCGGGTTCGGATCCTGGGCGCGCACCAACGCACCACTTCTCAGGCCATGCTATGGCGGCGTCCCATATAAAGAGGAGGAAGATGGGCACAGATGTTAGCCCAGGGCCAGTCTTCCTCAGCAAAAAGAGGAGGATTGGCATGGATGTTAGCTCAGGGCTGATCTTCCTCACAAAAAATAAATAAATAAATAAATAAAAATAAATAAGTAAATACGATGAAAACAAAGTAAATGTTATTAAATTTGAGCTAGGTACTGTTGCAGTGCATGTGGAAAGTTCTGACAGATCTTAAAAGTTCTCACCACAAAAAAAAAAAAAGGTAGCTGTGAGGTGATGAATGTGTTAACTAACCTTATTGTGGTAATCATTTCCCAATATATACATATATCAAATCATCATGCTGCACACCTTAAACTTCCACAATACTATGTGTCAACTACACCTCAATAAAGCTGGAAAAAAATTGGACAGCATTACAGGGGTGTTCAAAAAAACTGACACCCAACGATTCTCTCTCTTTGATATAATCAACAAAATTGACAGAGACATGGAAAGAGAACAACTTTCTCATAAAGTGATTGACCAGTCCATGGGGGCACCCCCTAAAATCCTCTCAGACCCCCTGCAGTGCCCAGTTCACCTTGCAGAAACATGCTGAAGTACTGCTAAGGTCCCTTCTGCCTCCAACTCACCATCCCTGAGCAAGGTGGCCAAGGGACGAGGACACAGAGAGGACAGCCTTTGGACTGGACAGGCCCAGGAGAGCACTGCTGTCACCTGCAGCAAAATCAAGGTGGCCCGTGGCATTCACCTGGGTGCCAGGCCCAATTCATTAGTCGTGGCTGACTGAGGTGTTTGTTAATGGATTCTGAAAGCAAGCCAAGGCTCAGTGGGAAAGAGTGTCCTGACTGATTAGCAAGGTAGCAAGGTAGCAAGGTCGGCCAGTCGGCATCCCCAAGAGCATGGTAGTCTCCACCTCCTTTGTTTCCTGTAGCCCCAGACACTCATCTTTCCTCTTCCAAAACCAGGGCAAAGCAGTTCCAAACTTGAGTGAACATCAGACTCACCTGGGGAATAGGTTTTAAATGGGGGTTCCTGGACCCCAGCAGGTCCGAGGCCAGGCCTGGGAAACGCATGTTTTACAAGCTTCCCCACAGATGGGAGCAGGTGGTCCTGGACCACACTCAGAGGAAACCTGGCCTAGTGGATGCTGGCAGGCCAACTGCAAGGCCTAGAAGACCAGAACATCAGAACAGATTCTTCAGAAGCCAGGATGAGAGAGGAGCCAAACTGAAATTCCCCCATGACGTCCAAAACCCTTGTCCTCTTCCCTCCTTTGCATAGAAAATGACCAGATGAGGCGATGGAGAGTGAGGAACAGGAGCTAAAGTTCTGGGTCAGGCCACACACATCATTAGAGGCAGCAGAACAGAGTGAGAACAACTCATCTGGGAGTCGGGGTCCTGGTCCCGGTCCCAAATGTGCTTCCACGCAGCTCTGAGACCTTGGGAAAGTCACTTCCTCCCCAGTGGCTCAGGTCTCCAAGCCACAAAAAAGGAGACCAGAAAACCTGGAAGGTCCCCTCCAACCATTCTCCTGTTCTCCAGCAAGGACTCCTAGCCTCTCTCCCACAGATTATAATCGCATCCTTGGGCCCAGTCGCACTCCTCCCACCACCCACCCATCATCCACACGCCAGGAGGTCACAGGAGCTAAGCCTCTGTCTAGATGGGATGGAGAGTGTCCAGAACCAGTGGCGGGGTCTTCACACCAAGCCACCAAAGAAAGCCAAAACTGGCGATGGTGTGACGTCAATCTTTTTGACAACGACCACTTTGTAAGCACAAGCCACGCGCCGGGCACATCCAACCCCTCGCCAGCGTCGTGGCTGGCACCTCACCCTGGCCCTAGGAGTTTCCTACTGAGAGTCTCCCCACTGCGCAGACGAGGGAGCTGAGGCGCGCAGGGGCGAAGTGACTGACCCAAGGTCAGTTAGCCGGGACGAGGCAGTCAGCCGAGGGCCCCACCTCCGCCCCGGGGTCCGGGTCGAGGGCGCGCGGAGCCCCAGGAAGAAAGGCGGCAGGGAGGGCCGCGGGCCGAGCAGAGGCCCCACGCCACCCTCCGCGGAGTGCCCGCGCGGGCGCGCCCTGTCCCCGCGCCCGCCGCCGGAGCCGCGTTCCGGCCCGCGCCTCGCCGTCCATGCCCGGGGCCGCCGCTCACCGGACTTCGGGGGGTAGCGATATGCCGAGTTCGCCTGGATGTCGATGTCCTCCACGCCCGCGATGCGGCGGCTCAGGATGGAGCCCATGGTTCGCGGCGTGCCGGGCCGGGGCCAGGGAGGTGGGCGGCGGCGGCGTCCTCACGCGGACATGGCTCGGACCAGGCCGCACGGACGATGGCCCACGGCCGCGGGCGCCTCGGCCTCGGAGCCCCCACCCGTTCTGCCCCTGGCCCGACGCCACGGCGGCCCTCCGCCCCCCGCTCCCGAGGCACCTTGGGAAATGGAGTCCCCTCGCCGCCGAGGGCGCCCGGCTGAGGCGCGGGAAGCCCGCCTAGAAACAACATTTCCCAGGATGCTCCTCGCCCGGGCCCTCTGAAGGTGTTGGCAAGCGCTCCGGGACAAACCAAACGGACCTGAATCCAGAGGGGAGGAACCATCAACCGCACCGCAAATTGTCCTTCCCTCGGCATTCCAAACACCGCACTAACATCGTAACTCTTTAGCCTCCTAACAGCTTGTTCATACATAGACCTTTTTAGGAACCCAACGCCTTCCATTTACCCCCCTCTCTGAAATATCTCCCTGAGCCACCGTGTTGCTCCCCACTTCCCAGGGTTTATCTCCTGCCTCGGCCAGCAGAGGGCACACCTTTACCTGCCACCCAGAAAGAGCCGGGTTGGCATCCAAGCTTACCTGGAGAAGCACATTTTTTTAGCCTTTTCTGGAACTCAAGGCATCTCTTAGGCTCCACGTCCAGTACAATTACTTTGAAGGCATAATTTTACAGCCCCCTCTCCACATACACACACACAGAGGCAGTAGGCCTCTCCCCATTTTACAGTCAGGGAAACAGAGACACAAAGAAGTGAGGGCCGCATATAAGATGCTAAAGGCAGAGTCAGGATTAAAGCCTCGCAGGTTGCAATGTACTTTCCTGGCTTTTGACTCACACAAAACTCTGTAAGCAGGCCAAGTGGGGATCTGTTTTTACCTACTTTTCAGTTGAGAAACTGGCTTTCAGTGAAGAAAGTGACTTCTCGAGTCAACCCTGCTGTATCAAGAATGCAGCTAGAGAGGGCAGCGGCTGGCTAGGAGTCTCAAATGGTAAATTTACCACAGTCCATGTTAAAATGAGTCCCACACCTTTCCAGGGGCTATTGTCAGGGGACCTGGGAAGCCCAAACTAAAAAAGAGGTGAAGGACTTGGGTGATTATGACGGAGAGTCCTGGTCTTGGAGGAGCATGATTAAATCTCTGCCCCACAACCAAAATCCTCTTTTACTGAGCACCTACTACGTTAGGTTCTATTTTCATTCCCAATTTACAGAAGAGGATAGTGAGGCTGGGAGAGGTGAAGTGCTCCACTCAGGTTGCATAGTAGGTAAGTGTTAATGAAGCTGGAATTTGAACCAGGCCACTCCTTTTACCAACACACTCCCCTGCCACCCCAGAGACAGGAATTCTCCAATGTGCCAGATTTCATGTCCCTTGCCCCCAGATGGGCCTGAAGACAGCCCCACCCCGTGTGATCTTTCTTTCCTTACTTTAAATTTCTTTCTGTTAAATCACCTAACGTATGTATAGATACACACATACATAAACCAACACTGCATTCAATTTACTGGCTTCCCTGTTTGGGGGAGGGAGGCAGAGTCCTGAGGCCCCTGATGTTCCCACTGAAAAATAACCCTAAGAGCCTGTCCTCCCTATGGACCCTGGGCCAGGGCAGTTGTTTCCACAGGCTGGATATTTGATTAATTAAACATTCCTCTTAATAGGGCTTTGGACTTGGGGTGTATTTTTCTGTGCTTATCCACGCCCTATCTGGAGAAAGGGAGACAGGCTCTTTCTAATTTGGTACTAGTTCTGCTACCAACATCTTGGCTGATTCATTTATTTATTCAGCAAATGTTTATCATGCAGCTACTATGTGACAGGCAATGAGCCAGGCAACAGGGATCAAATGGTGGAACACTAGACCTGGAGCATGCAGGCTAGTGAGGAAAGACACTAAAGAGGTGAACAAGCGTATAAAAACAAAATGTGGTGGGTGCTCTGGGGGAATGGATTGAGGTGTAATGAAATAATAGGAGAGACCTCCTATTGATAGAGAAGTCAGGAAAGGCTTCTCTGAGGAGATGACATTTAAGCCAGGACTTGAAATAGAAGAGCCAACCAGGCAAACTCTGAGGGAGTAAGCCAGTCCCTCATGATGTGCAAAGGCCCAGAGGTGGCAAAGAGATGAGTATGATCCAGGAGCTCAAAGGCCAGTTTGGCTGGAATCAAGTAAGGGGAAGAGTAGAGGAACAGAGGTCAAAAGTGGCCAGATCTCAAGGCCCATCAGTCAGCCAGCACTGGGTGCTTTGAAACATAAAGGAAGACCCTGGGCACTGGCTTCCTGGTGTGAGTCCCTTGAGTCTAGACTTCTCCTCCTGAGGGGGCGGGCTCCTCACCTATTCATTCTTAAATATAATTTTATTTATTTCTTTCTTTTTCCCCAAAGCCCCAGTAGATAGTTGTATGTCGTAGTTGCACATCCTTCTAGTTGCTGTATGTGGGACTCGGCCTCAGTATGGCCCGAGAAGCGGTGCGTCGGTGCGCCCCCGGGATCCGAACCTGGGCCGCCAGCAGCGGAGCACGCGCACTTAACCGCTAAGCCACAGGGCCGGCCCCCTCACCTATTCATTCTTATGCTCCCAGAGCTGAGCGCCCAGTGGCTGTCTGACAAACACTCACACCCATGGAGTGATGAAAGGGGGCGGGGAGAAGGTGGCCAGTGGGTGCTGGAAAGGCCAGGGCCCTGGGCCCTCCATTGACTGGCTATGCCAACTTTGGCAAAGCCCTCTACCTCCCTGGACCCCAGGTAAGATGAGGGCATTGCCTTTCAGAAATGCCTTTTATCCCCCTTCCCCCCATCTACTGGCCCCAGCTGTCAGGCCCCATCCAAGCCTGCTAAGAAATCCAAAGTCCACTCTCTAGCCAGGCTGATCCTGCCTGAAAACAAGGTTGTTTTTCCCTTCCCTGCAGCCCTTGGGGAAAACAAGGCTGATGGGGGGCCACAGGGGCCAGAAAAGTGACCTTCACTCCTGCCAGCCCCATCTGCCCCACCCCAGCCAGCTGGCTGGCCTAGAAGAGCTCCTTCTGGGCTGGGCAAGCCCAGGCAGGTACCTGAGAGGTGCCTGGAAGAGGGTGGGGGAAGGGGTGAAGGTACTTCCTGCCTCCCTGAGCAAGAAAAGCCCCTAGTGGGCCCTGCCAGGACAGCGCCCACTCTCCCTTGCCAGAAACACACCCTGCTGGCCCACTGGGTGCCTGCTCTTCTCCACTGGCTCTGAACACCTGCAAGAGTGTAAGGTCCAATTCCAGCCTCAGTTTCCTTATCTGTAAAATGGGGATTGGGCCCCCTAGAGTGGTCCAGATGGAGGCAAAGAGGCAAGGGCAAGAAATGGTGCCCTGAGTGCCAGGCCCATGCTGAGCACCTCCCAGCCATTAATCCTCCACAGCAGTCCTGGGAGAGCTCCTCGCTCTTACCTTGTTCTACAAACGAGGAAACAAGCTCAGAGCCGGAAAGTACCTGCCAGCCACCAGAGTCATTAGGTGTGGGAGTCACGACTGACAGCCAGGCTCCAGAACCTGCTCACCTTCCACCATGCCCTGTTGCTGTCCCAGTGGTAACAGCGATAGTGGTCCATACTCAGAGGTGCCTACCCCGGGCCGAGCACTTTGCCCACATTAATTCATGCTTGTGATGCTTTGGGCAGGTGAGGGGCCCTTCTTAGTAAGAGCAGAAATCTCCTAGCACCATCCAGGTTTGCAAAAAGTGGTGGATCCTGAGTGATCCTCACGCAGCAGAAGAGGCCAAAACCTTATTTCCCAAGTGGACAGGCAACTTCTGCAAGGGCTGAGGTGCCCACCTGGAAGGGGACACTGGGAGTCCTCTCTCTGTCAAAGGGCCAAGCTCCCAACTCTAGCCCTCAGGGGCCACTAAGCAGTCTCACTGTGCCAAGCTTCCCTCCCAGAAGCTATCCTGGTGACTCAGCCTCCACCCAACCCCGACATCTTGCGACCTTTCAGACTTTGTCGACCAGTCCCCCACATCCTCTTTCCACTAACCCAAGCCAGAATCCCTGGAAGGGTTGAGGGACCCAGGAAGGGCTCCCCAGAGAACATTGAAGGCCCTCCCCCAGCCCCCAGTGTGGGACACTTCCGTCCATTCAGTCCAATTCTGCAGGCGAGGCGCTCGGCAGGCGCGGACTCCCTTGGAACCAGACACACCTAGAACACGGCCTGATCCGAAAAGGACCCCTCCGCCACCATCTAGTCTCCACACTGCGGCAGCCACAGTAATCCTAATGCGGACAACGGATCAAATCTGTTAAAACCCCTCAACGGCCTTTAACCCACCACCTCCAGGGCCTGTGCCTGCTTCCCGAGTGCACGCTCCACACTTGCAATCTTATATCTGTCCTTGGGATTTGTGACACACACCCCCACCCCAGCCCCGCCACCAGCCGACAGGTCTCGGGTTTGCTCTCGTCCAGGTCAGAGCCAGGCACGGAGTGAGGGGACAATGAACAGTCACTCAACGAATGAAACTCGGGCCCAGACAGCGCAAGGAACCGGGACAAGGTCATTCAGAGCGGGGTTGACTGAGCCAAAACTCGGCCCGGTTCCCGACCCCGGCGCCCCGATTCCGGTTCTGAGTCTCTCCTACCCGCGACGTCAACCGGAAGCGGCGCGTGCGGGACTGTAAACACAGCCCGCAACGCCCCACCCCCTTGCTCTCCAGCCCCGCCCCCGCCCGCCACGTGACGCGCCCCCGCCCGCCTCGACCCAGTGCCCGCCCCCGCCGCCGCTTCATTGGGCGACCAGCTTTGTTTACCTTATATGGCCAGGTCCTAACACTCTGCGGCCGTCCATTGGCCGAGGTGCGGCCTCACTCACTTGACGTCATTTGAGACCGAACGATGCAAATAAACCGGGGCATTCTGGGAATAGGAGTTCAGGGCTGCCCCGGAACTGGCTCCGCGCGGTCCTGGCGCCCGCCTTCCCAAAGCCGAGATTTCCGGCAAAGCGTGCGGGATTTTGCGTGGGAAAGTGGGAGCACCACGGGGAAGGGACCCTGACGCGCCAGAACCTGCCGGCCTCGTCTGCCTGTCCCGGGCGCCATCCCTTCCCCAGACCTTCCTCGGGCCTACTGTGCGCCTGGCCGAGAGCCAGTCGAGGTGGAGGTGGTAACACTTGCATCACGAGTGGGCGAAGTGAGCTTGTGCTCGAGGCGTTGGGGAGACCGGAAGGCTTCCTGGAGGCGGTGACATTGAGCGGTGACATTGAGCAGAATCCTAAAGGGCAGATTCATTCATTCATTCACTGAGCGAGTATTTATTGGTGCCTACTGTGTGCCAGGCTTTCAAGGCCTTGCGTCCTAGTGCTTCCGATTTGTGCCAAAACTCCTAGGGCCCCTCTCCAAGGGTGCACCCACTCAACACAGAGGGATGCCTACCACACCGGGGTTCGAGGTCCCGGGGTCTCGGCAAAGACCCCTGTAGCCGGAGTTTGCGCCCATGTAGTCTGTGGCCCCCGCCTGCTGACCCTCATCAGTGCCAGGCAGGGGCGCAGGTGCCCCCAGAGCCGCGGGAGCGACCAGGACGTCCCCAGCTCTCGTCTCGGGCCTGGGCACGTGCGGCCTGGCTCCGCACACAGTGGGCCTCACGCTTCAGACACGCCCTCTCCCCAGCCCTGCCGGCCGACAGCTCGCCCGCTCGGCCCGACGCGGCGGAAGTGGCGGGACTACAACTCCCAGGGTGCCGCGCGGCCGCGCGAGGCGAGGCTCGGTGAGTCAGAGCCGCACAGTAAATATTTGTATTAGCCGGAGCCGGCTCGCTAATGGTGGACGCGTGAGGCGGAGGAGCACGGCGGGCGGGCGGGCGGCCGGGGGGCAGCGCGGCGGCGGCGCCATGTCCGTGAACATGGACGAGCTCAAGCACCAGGTCATGATCAACCAGTTCGTGCTGACGGCGGGCTGCGCGGCCGACCAGGCGAAGCAGCTGCTGCAGGCGGCCCACTGGCAGTTCGAGGTGCGCGGCCGGGCCGGGCTGGGCCAGGCAGGCTGCGC